CAGGTCCCAGTGAGATATTTGCCAGAGTATTAAAAGAATGTAAGGAAGAGCTTAGTATGCCCTTAGCAAAATTGTTTAACATGTCCTTAAAAATAGTTGTAGTACCAGAATCCTGGAGGATTGCAAATGTAATATTGACTTATCCTTTAACTACTGTCCAATCAGTCTAACATCAATTGTAGACAAATTACTGGAAGAAATCATTTCAAACTCTATTCAAAATCACCTGGAGAAGCACAAGTTGATCTATGATTCCCAACATGGCTTCACAAGCAGGCATTCATGTCAAACTAATCTATTAACATTCTTTTCATCTGTTTTCAAATCAGTGGATGAGGGGCAAAATTATGATGTGGTATATCTCGACTTTAGCAAAGCCTTCAACAGAGTCCCCCCTCACGAAAGACTAATAAGAAAAGTAGAAGCCCATGGCATTAAAGGAGTTATTCTAAAATGGATTAGGGCGTGGTTACAGGACAGGAAACAGCGAGTGAGCATTAACGGCACTATATCCGAATGGAACAACGTCACTAGTGGAGTTCCTCAAGGCTCAGTACTTGGGCCATTATTATTTATTATACTGTTACGAACCACGCCATCAATTGTCATGATCTACCTACCCAGCACTACGAACCACGCCATCTATTGTCATGATCTACCTACCCAGCACCACGAGCAACACCATCTAGGGACGAAACCCGAGTATGACTAGTCTTAGTTACCACTCCGGGGTTTCCCTTCTCCATATCCTGATTGTTGCGTCACCTCCTCCAAGTCTTCCTCATCAGCTCCAGATCGAGGAGAGTTCAGTTCACTCTGGGAAGTGACCACACTAGGATCACCTATCCTGGAAACCTACGGCACAGTGACTACCTACCATCTTCTTCAATACTCAGCCATCTCAGCACTGCACTTGAGTATTTTGTAATCTTATATTGCCTCCCACCTCCACTTGCTTCTGTTTGTTGTATGTTGTATAAATATGTATATATACTGTTAAGCCAATGTTGCGTATGTTTAGGTTAAGTATGGTTAAGGGTAAATTATAGAAAGCTGAATATTTTGTTAAGGAATTTATGGTACAGTATTACCCCGCCTAACGCGGTTTCACTTAGCGCGTTTTCGCATATACGCGGTGCCTTGCCAGAGCTGAACTTTCACTTAACACGGATTTTTTCCACATATACGCGGTGAGTGTCCGGCTCGAGATGCTATTTTTAGATTTTGCCCACGCGCCACGCGCCACCCGCCCGCCCGCCTGCCCGCCTGCCTGCCTCTCCCTCCTCCTCCCTCCGCTTGGGCAAGCCGCGCGGTAAGGTTGCGCAGTGTGTGTCTTTGTTGCGTTATCACTGACGTCACATGACGTATCGGACTGTGATTGGCCATGCATCCCTACCCCCTCTGCTGCTAGCTGTAATTGGCTTAAAGTATTATGACGTGACCACCCCGGGGAGGGAGGGAGGGAGGAGAGACGACGCTTGACCTAGCCGCGGCAGTTTCATCCCTCAAGGCCACCCCGGGTTAACGCGCATCCATTGTTCCGTAAAATGGCTTCCGCCGGACCACCACCGTCCCCAGAGAGAGACCTTTCCTTACCTGGACCCAGCCGCACTAAGCCAAAGAAGATACGACGTTCATTAAGCTACGAGGTGAAGTACCAAATTGTTCAAGATTTGGAGAAAGGAAGACGGCAAGTTGATCTCGCGCGCCAGCATGGCGTCAACGAATCTACGATTCGTACGATCAAGAAGGATGCAGCCAAGATCAAAGAGCACATGAAAATCACAAAGTCTGCAGGTGCTTCATCTATCAGGTATTGCCAGAACAGGGTGCTGGCAAAAGTGGAAAATTTGCTGGTGAGTTATTTGGTGCGTCAGGCGCGACGCAACATGGCGGTGGACACGCGCTCAGTGCAGGAGTACGCACGTGAGCTATATGCAGCAGTGTCACGTAAACTGGGAATTGCAGAGCCCAAACCCTTCAATGCTTCCTCTGGTTGGCTGCATAGGTTTAAGAAGAGGAACAAGATCACCAACATCAACATTGGTGGTGAGGAAGCGAGTGCTGACCGTGTGGCGGCTGGAGATTTTCCTCCGTTTTTACGTGAGATTATGGAGGAAGGACAGTACAGTGACGACCAGGTGTTTAACATGGACGAATCTGGTCTTTTCTGGAAAAAGTTACCTTCCAAGACCTTCGTTGTCCAGTCTGCCAGCAAGGTAAGGGGTCGGAAGTTGCAGAAGGAACGCATCACCATCCTGTTTACCACCAATGCCTCTGGTACCTGTAAACCAAAGTTATCGGTGATTCACACAGCCCGCAAGCCGCACGCCTACAAGAATATGGACATGAACAAGCTTAATGTCCACTGGCTAACCGCACGTAAGGCGTGGATGTCCTCTTCTCTGTCCCTCTTCTGGTTTGACGACTGTTTTGTTCCTGACGTGAAGAAATTATGCGAGCAACAGAATGTTCCATTCAATATTTTGTTGCTCCTTGACAACGCACCTGGACACTCGCCCCTACTTATGGATCGTCACCCCAACGTAAAAGTGGTCTTCCTTCCTCCCAACACCACGTCATTAATCCATCCCATGGACCAGGAGTTGATCTGCAATGTGAAAGCTGCGTACTCTACAAAGAAGTTCAAGCTCCTGAACGACTCTACCAACACCAAGGATGAGTTGCGTAAGCTGGGTGACACCGACAGCGAGAGTAAAAGCGACAAGGAACAAGAGGTGGCGACTCAAGAAGTTCTCGTCAAACAATTTTGGAAGAAGTTTAACGTCAAACAAGCTGTAGACTTCTTGGTGGAGGCATGGGATCAGCTGTCTTTTGCTACGATTTGTCACGCATGGAGACATGTGTTGCATGGTATCCCAGGTGAGAGGAGGAGTGAGCCTGTGACTGGTGAGGTTCAGACCGTTGCAGTAGCAGTGGACCTTGCCAGAGAAGCTGCGCACAATATTACAGCTGAAGGCTTCTCCGAGACCACCAAAGAAGACATCCTGGCGGTGATCAGAGATCCTGAAGTGACTGCCGACGAGATGTTGGAAGAAGATCACGTCAGTGAAGAGGAAGAAGAAGGTGCGTCATTCTCCGAAGAACACAGTTTAAGTCATAGTGATATTAAGGGTGCCATGGAGTGTGCAGAGAAAATGAAGTCCTTCCTTTCCCGCGACAATAACGATGACCGCTATGAATTCTTCCATACCCGGCTGGTGCAGGCTATGGATCCGTACATCAGGGTATATCAAGACAACATAAACACCAGCCGTCAAAAAAGCATAACCAAGTTCTTCACCCGCAACCCACCACAGCCAGCCCAAGCCAGTGATAGTGACAGAGGTAGAGACAGTGAAGATGACTTTGAGGGATTTGTCAGGGAGGCCATAACAAGTGTGGGTGACAGTGATGGTGACTCACCTGGCACGGTGATTCACCTGAGGGCCAGTAATCTGCTCCCCTGCCTCGAACCACCAGCCTCCATCCTCGATGCCGACCCAACTCTCTACTACCGTAAGTAAATTCCACCCAATCCTTAGTTTCTCTTAGGTAACCTTCATTTTTCCCGTTAACCTTTTTATCTTTCCTTTTAACCTAACCTCTTCTATATTACTTGTTTTTTTCATACCATCATAAAGTTAAGATAGAATTTTTACTACAACATAGTTATGTGTCATAGTTATGTGTCGTCAAAAGTGGATTTGGGGTCGGGCTGGGTTCTATTGGAATTAATCCCATATGTTCTGTTGTTCACTTAAGCGGATTCATGGCCGGGACCCTCTGGGTTCAATTGACGTGAAGTGAATTTAACTGTACTTTATTATACACAACAAAAACTCGCACCCTTTTATAGTCCGATTGTCTTTATTTTTTTATTGTTGTTGCCTGTTGGGATCTGGGTAGACTTTTAACTATATTCTAAATCCCCAACTCGTAACAATACTGTACAGGTAGTTCTGCTATCTTGCGATAATTGTGTTCTTGTAAAATATCGTGTTATAGAAAATCGCGTAATAGAAATAACAGGGCTTATGGAGAAAATAGGGTTAGGTGCAGATTACTCGAAATCGAAAAAATTTAGTAGTTAGCCTAACACAAAGGATAGCACAGTCTAAATAAATGTTACATTCATATCTAATAATGAAATCATACAGTAAATGTAACACTTTACTTGATGGGGAGAAGGGTGATTCAGGTTGATAAAATCGATTTCTTCAAGTGTTATATCCTTTCTTACTATCATCACCGAATTCTATCACCAGAACGCTTTTTGTTGATATTCTTCTTTACTATATTCACAGTTAATACAGGGTTATGCTATAACGAACGATCCTACTACTAATATTCCTATAACTAACGGTTTTACCTATAAAATTGAGAATGCTATAACAACGAAACTCCTACAATCTAACATTATTTAATTTTTTTTTTAATTTATTGTTTTTTTATTACAAATATTAATGATATTCTTTATTTGGTTTAGATGCATATTTATGCACTTTACAATTTTACAATTTTATATTATATTTTTCAGTGTTAAGTGGTTGTATTTGGGGCCTGGAACGGATTAACCTATAATCAATCTAATGCTATAACGAACAAGGTTCTAGAACCAATTAGATTCGTATAGCATACCCCCACTGTACCACAAAATTGGAGAAATAGTAAGCAAAATCGCTAATAGAGAAAACAAAGGCTTGATTATACAAATATCGTTCCTAATTCATAAATCGCGTTAGAGCAAATTCAAGTTATCAAAACACGCGTTATAGCAGAACTCACTGTATACATAAATGACATAGATATCGGCATAGACAGCAACATAAGTAAATTTGCTGATGACACTAAAATAGGGCGTGTAATTAAATCTGACGCGAATTCCGCAAAACTACAGGAAGATGTAAATACAAATTTTGAATGATCTGAAAAATGGCAGATGAAATTTAATATGGACAAATGAAAAGTACTCAGTATAGGAAATGTAAACAGGGATACCAGATGAACAAAACTGTTATTGAGAAATCCCACTCAGAGAAAGATTATGGAGTAACGATAAGTGGGAATCTTAACCCAAGTAAGCAATGTGTATTTGCTAAAACAGGGCTAATAAATTAATTGGGTTAGTACAAAGGAGTGTTAGTTACAAGATTAGCAAGGTCATCCCACTGCAGTTTCTTCCATTCTTATGTTATGTTATGTTCTCATACAGTATATCAAATTTATGAAATCCTCTTGGTTACATGCATTTCAGATTCCTGTTATTAAATTATACCTTCCCAAGAGGTCTGTCTGGTATGTCAAAGCTGCTAAACAAACAGATGGTCACAACACAATACTTTTTAGGTGTACCAATCATTGATTTCATTTGTCTTAACTCCCTCTTACCACCCTTTCACAGAGGTCTGGTGAGGAAACAATGTCATGTGAGGTTCTGTATATTCTATGTTCATTAACTATGGCGTGCGTGTGTACCATGAAGTAGCAGTGTGCATACAAGACAGGGAAGGATGGCATTGAATGGTTTTGGAGAGTGGATGTATGAAATGACAGGGGTAAACCAGATGGCTACGTAGACCATTAAGATTTACAAAAATGGAATAAATACTTCTGAAAGTGAAACTTTTAAACATACAAATTTGTAAGTTAAATTCTACCGCTTGGGAAATTTACATTAACAGTTTGCAACAACTTTTTGGGCTATCCATCGACAAGGAAACTCTGGAATGGCTGGAACTGCTGATATGTCCAGGGATGTTCCTGAAAAAAGAAAAACTGCTTAGACATGTAAAAGTAAATATATATATACAGTGACCTCGTTAACGAACTCAACTGCTTCCAGAAGGTCGTTCGTTCACCGAAAAATGTTAACGAAACCATTGTTTCAATGGGTTTGGGTAATGGTTCCAGCTCACCGAAAATTTCCTAAATTCAACAAAATGGTAGAAAAGTTCACTTACTTTGAGGTGTGTATGTAGAAGGCCCTGGATGATGATGATGATGGGAATTAGAATGGGGGTGGAGGAGAAGGAAGAAGAGAAGGCATTGGGGTGGAAGAGAAGTCACCCCATGGCACCATTTCACCCATAAAATTTTAGTTCTCTTGGTGTAATTCAAGATTATTTTCTTTAAATCAACACTGCACTGCATTATATATTGTCAATATGTAAAATATATTCCAAAATGACCAATAATTTGCTTTGAAACACAGAAAAAAGCGTTTAGTTGAAGAGAGTCTGCAAGATGTTACCTCCACTGAAAACAGAGAGAGACTACCTGTCTGGTGTGTTAACAGGCTGGATGGCATGCCAGAAACTAGTTTCTTTACCTTCAATTATGTTCAATAATTGTTAAAATGACTAAAAAAAAGAATATTAAACTTTTAAAATTATTGAATAGTATAAACTTTTGATATTTACTAAAATAGTAAGGAATTTAAGCCCTAAACCGATTACTGTATTGGCGGACTGATACTAAAGCTGGTTGCCTGGTCAGGCAAGCAAAACATGTTGAGGTCGGTTCTAAGAAATTGTTTACCGAATTTTTGTTAGTTAACCAATTGAAGACTTGAAGCCAAGTTAACAACCTATATTAAACAAAGGGTCACTGTATGTATGTATGTATGTATGTATGTATGTATGTATGTATGTATGTATGTATGTATGTATGTATGTATGTATGTATATATATATATATATATATATATATATATATATATATATATATATATATATATATATATATATATATATATATATATATATATATGCTGATAACTACAAGGAAAGAAGAAAACACGAAGTTCCCAAGCGCTGTAATTCACATCTTTCAGGGGTGAGTACAGACTAGAGAGAGAAATACAAACCAAGGTGTATATATACAGAGGAGGGTGAGACCAGGTCCACAATGGTCAGGTATTAGGTAATGACCCGACTAATCTTTAAATAGCACACAACGTGGTGGTCAGGTGACCCGCCTTCTCACCTGGTTACAAATCTTCTTAATTACAAAATTGTCCAGCTTGTACATGCCGTTACTCAAATTCATGTTGAATGCTTCGTATGTTTAATAAGACTAGATTCTATGATGTTCCTACTATCAATTGAATTATATGGTAATATTGAGGAGGCATTATCCCAGTCAATGCAATGCTTGTTATCCTCAAATGAACAAACAGAGCATTGGATTCCTGGCCTGTCCTAACACTGTATTTGTGTTGTTTAATCCGTTAAAGATCTTTACCTGTCTGGCCTAAGTAAAACATATTCCTTGCAAGGAACTTTATAAATGCAACCAATTGTGTTGTTGGGGAGTTCTTGATTAACATTTGTTTAATGTGCATGAGTTTTAAATGCCACATTGACGTTCCAGGTTTTAGTTGTGAAGGAATGTGTGAGAAATTTTTGTGAAATGGTAATATAAGATATTCTTATGGTCATGGGTGGGCTTGGGATCAGTTCTATAAAAAGTTTTCTTAGTAATGTTTAGGCATTTGTCTATGAAAGATCTAGGTATTGTAGTTTGAGCCAATATTATATATATATTTGTATTCCTCATCAATGAATTCGACTGCAAATTCTCAAGGCACGAAAACATTGTTGAAAATACTGACTGTTTGACTTTATTATGGTGGGCAGAATAATAATGAATGTATGAACACACATTAGTTGGTTTTCTATAAATACTAAACTTAAAAGTGTTACCTATTCTGTGTATCAGACAGTCTAGGAATGGCAATTTACAGTCTTGCTCTAATTCCACAGTGAATTTGATTGAGGGGGCTAAGTTGTTAAGTTGTGGCAGGAAAGCTTTTTAGTCCTCATTACACCATCTGTGAGGGAATTACTACACCACGCCAGGTCCCTCATAACAACATCTGAGGGAACTACTACACCACGTGAGTTCCTCCTAACACCATCTGGGAGGGAGTTACTACACTACGAGTTTGCTGTTCAACACCTACATTAATCTGTGTGTTCACTGTATGTTCCTTTACCTTTCTCTAATGAAGGCTTTTGTTAAACCACCAATGTATGTAATAAGTCATTTGTGTCCGATGTATATTTTCAGCCTTCGGGCTGCAGAATTTTTTCAATAAACCGTTAATTATTATTATTATTATTATTAATACATCATCAACATATCTAAACCAGACTGCTGAAGGTGGTAAAATATTACTTAATAGTTTCTTTTCAAAGAATTTATATATAGGTTGCTTAATACAGGTGAGAGTGGATTACCCATTGCCATACCAACCTATATATGGAATTCTTTGAAAAGAAACTATTAAATTTTACTGCAGTCTTTTAGATATGTTGATATGTATATTCTGGCCATGTAATGAGGACCTAAAAGCTTTCCTGCCACAACTTAACAACTTAGCCCCCTCGATCAAATTCACTGTGAACTTGTGTGAAGGAAGTGGGCAATAAATGAGTGGCTGGGTGACCGCCTACCTGAACTGCGTAAAATCACCCAGAGGGGTTTTCGAGTGTGAAAGAGTTATTTTTCTTACATAAAATATGCACTAATGTATTTTATGATATGCTATGCATCAATTTTACTGTTTATCATAATAAATATGACAGTTCATCCCCATTGCATGCAGTACAGTCATCCCTTGGTTATAGCGCACTTGGTTATCGCGATTTTCGTTATCACGCCTCCATCAAAATCTGCACACCTGTTGTTATAGTGCATTTTTCAGGCCGAGAATTTAATTATCACGCAGTTGCCTTCAGGTGTATTGTTATACCCTTGCTTCACCTACATCTATTGAGGATAAAATCTTTCACCTACAAATTAACAAAAACACATTTGCTGTAATCAGACATACCTAAGTTGTCTCAACAATTGCAACCCCAGATGCAATTTCAAATTCTGTGTCATTACTAAGGAATAACGAAGTCTCGGGTGCACTCTAAGATTGAGAGAAAACGAAGGACTCAGGTGTCCTGAAGCGATGAGAAACGGACTCCTCAGACGGGGGACTCAAATAAAGAAAGCATAGCTACATGTTTTGTGGACTACAGTACTGAGCGCATTTTTCATCACTTTGTAATAAACCTAGCCATGCCTATGTGTGTTTCTGATACTTACCATAACATTATCCATATCTTTAGTGAGTCTAAATGGTCGTAAAATGGGAAAATTGGGGTTGGGTCTTGGGTGCCTGGAACCAATTAGAATAAATTCCATAGGTTCTGTAGTTTCATTATCAATTTTTCGTTATCACACTCGGCGTGGTCCCAATTAGACGATAAACCAAGGGATGACTGTATTCACATTTATGATTCTTGCTGATTTTGGAGGAATTTTTATTTTCATTATTATTATTTCGTTTTGTTACCAGTTAGTTGAATCTGATGGTTACCCGGACCCCGGAAAACCGAGATTCTACTGTACAGTGGTCTCTCCGTTAACGAACGCCTCGGTTAACGAACTGCCTCCCATAAGATTCTTAAATTCGGTTAACGAATTTCTTACAAACCGACCTCAACATGTTTTCGCTTGCACTGGCCAGTCAACCAGCTTTAGTATTAGTCCGCCAATACATTAATCGGTTCTAGGGCTTAAATTCCTTACTATTTTAGTAAATATCAAGAAGTTTATACTATTCAATAATTTTAAAAGTTTAATATTCAATTTTTAGTCATTTTAACAATTATTGAACATAATTGAAGGTAAAGTGACTAGTTTAATGCGCGCATCCAGCCTCTTAACACAGCAAACAGTAGTATCTCTGTTTTCACTGGAGGTAACATCTTGCTTGAGACTCTCTTCAACTAAACGCTTTTTCTGTGTTTCCAACAAATTATTGGTCATTTTGAAATATATTTTACATATTGACAATATATAATGCAGTGCAGTGTTGATTTAAAGAAAATAATCTTGAAATACACCAAGAGAACTAAAATTTTATGGGTGAAATGGTGCCATGGGGTGACTTCTCTTCCACCCCAATGCCTTCTTCTTCCTTCTCCTCCACCCCCATTCTAATTCCCATCATCATCATCATCATCATCATCCAGGAGCCTTCTACATACACACCTCAAAGTAAGTGAACTTTTCTACCATTTTTGTTGAATTTAGGCAATTTTCGGTGAGCTGGAACCAATTACACAAAAACCCATTGAAACAATGGTTTCGGTTAACGAATTTTTCGGTTAACGAACAACCTGCTGGAACGGATTGTGTTTGTTAACTTGGGGACCACTGTATAAATAAAATGGAAAATAGCATAGAATGCATAATAATGTTTATAAGTGGTTATGTGCATGCTTACACTTACAGTAGACAGAGTTATCACCCTACCAGGAAGGCCACACCAACATAGCTTGTCCCTTTTTCTCATTCCAATAGGTGTTTTTGGTTCATGAATTTGAAGATGAATAAAACCTTACTTTATATTCTTGTTTTGTTGTTCCTGTGTAAAAATAAACGGATAATGTTGAGTAACAAGTAGTAAAGTTAAATTTTGAGTGTGTGTTGGAAGGAGTAGAAACACACCTGTATCCTTCTTTCGTGAAAACTTGATGAAATCTCTGCCAATATGGATAAAAACATCCAGTTCAATGATAAAATTTCCTCTGGGAAGAAAAACAGGGAATTGTTAATCTAAGGCAGTGGTGTCAAACTCAAAACCTTTCAAGTGCCAATTCTTATTTTAGTTACAGTCTTCAGGGCCAACACAAGTGCTTTATCACATATTTGCAGGATTGAAGTTTACAGCTTCACACATTGCCTTACCTGGCTTACCTCATTTGGGTTTGTCTGATCTTAAGTACAGAATATTAATTTTACTAAATAAACAACATATCTATTTCTATCATAATTTCAAAGGATGATAAATTTTACCGTCATCCCTGGGCCACCTGACCATCCCATGGGCCACATTTGGCCTGCGGGCCATGAGTTTGACACCCCTGTTCTAAGGTAATTTAAGATTTAAAGCAGAGTAAGATTTAAGTAGCACTGACAAGGATACCACAGCTTGTGCAAATTTTTTCTAGACTCCCCTGTATGTTAGAGATGCATAAATTTAAAGTATACTGGTACTTAATATTACAAGAAATAAGGGACATAAATTAATATTCCCTCCAAGCAAATTTTATTATTCCAAGGTGTACATTTTTTGCTTGCATGAAGTAAATAAAATTTTTAAGCATTGTTTGGTGAATTTTTTTAGCCTCTGGTCCTTAATCCCTTATTTTCAAGTGAATTACATGTACTGTACTCCAGTATTTCTATATCTTAATTTTTTACTTAGTAAATATTCTTAGTCCCTATCTCACGAAATAATCTGAGACTTCTGTACTGGTACAGCAATAGGACTATGATAGCAATGATCAAGAGAATTTCATATAATCTTTCCTCAATTGTTCTTACTGTACTCACCTTCTGAAAAAGATTCTTGAAGATCAAAATTGCACAGTGATACACTATCTAGGTAGGAATTTTTCCGATGGAAGAAAACGGTTTCCCAGGTATAGATGCACCATCCACAGAGCGAGACCACATTCTTCATTGAAGAGTTTTAGTACATTGCCCTTTCCTTCTCGAATACTGGTGTTAACTTCAAATGCCTGTAAAGGGTTAATTTATTAATTAATTTTCTAAATGTTTACATTTTGGTGTACTGTATTATTTATATAAGGTACAGCACCTTTTTCCACTATGATACAATATGGTGTGGGTAAAGTCTATTAGCACAGCATAATACTAAACCTTATGAAGGATCCATCTTGTCTATTCCACTTTCAGGTTCTTAAATGAGTTATGTCTAATCTCTCCTACCAGATTATCCAACTGAAGATTTCTAAAATAGAAGTCCTCCCTGAATACCCTAAACACAGTTCCTCAACTGTTCACTCTTTCCCAACTACCCCAGTGAAAGTTCTTCAAATGATATGTGCTCTCTCACTACTGTACGGTACTGTATTGTACTGCCTTACCTTGAACTACACTCTCGTTATATAACTATGTTCATCTTATTACAAAAGCTCAAACCTTTCCAATCCAAATCTCCATATACTGTATTCATTCAGACTACATTTGTCACCCCATCACATTGTAATACTGAATCTACATCTAATTTTCTTATTCTTCATTATATCCATGTTTGCTTCTTGTAACATTTACCCTTGACTCATTACACTTTTTTGGTCATTCCATTATTAAGAGATGCACAATTTAACAGCACATGGTGATTAAATAGAATAAATAGAAGGCACAAAAATCTTTAAATAGTTGGGAATTATGGGGTTGTGTAGCACAGAGCATAAAAAATACAGACATTGAAAGATGAATTTATCAAGATAAGATAACAGTTCAATGGGCCAATTTTGCCTTGTGGGTTGGAAAGCGCCTTCTAAAAATATTGCTATGTATTACTACACTATGTATATTGCTTTCCAATGTTTTATCCAGTATACAGTACGTATTACTACAGACTTTCCTAGCAGTACCATCCTATCTGCTTAATTCTATTCATCACATTCTATTGCCAACTAATGGGGAGGTAGAAACTTGGTTAAATTCAATATTAATATAACTCAGTATTTACTAATTACACTTTCTAAATTAGATGATCTCCCACCAATTACATTTCAGGACGCTATCATTCTGCCAAATCCTGAAATAGATATGCTGGGCCTCACCATTTCCTCTAATATGTCATGGAAATCACACATTCTCAACATTGCTAAAGCTGCTTCCCGAAAACTGGGAATGCTGTACAGATGCTCAGTTGCACAGACAGGACCCGACTGCACTGCCGCAGAGATCCAAGTGCATAAATGACCAACTTATCTATGTCATCCATGTCCAAAGTTGTGACTAGAGACTCCTGGCAGTCGTTTCTGCTTGTCCCTGTTACCATAGGACTTTGGGGGCTTAGGGGTTCTGATGATGATGGAAATTATGATGAGCTGAATGATGGCTGTGCGTGAGTACTTTTAAATGGTGAGGCAGGAGTGCAGGTTGCAACCACACATCTTGGCTTTCCCTTTTCCTGATCCAGTGGTGCAGGCAGGTGCAACAACTGGAGAGAAGGCGAGTTGCATTAGACTGCCAATAGCCCAGTTTGTTGGGTTTTGCCTTAGTAGCCTGTCCATCTCGCATTGCCTTCATCTGCTGGAGTATTCATTAGGTTCCCGTGTTGGTCACCTCTTCCGCCTATTCTGCCGTTGGGGTCTTACCGGAGCTCCATAAGCATGTCTGCCTGATGTGGAGCTCCACCACAGATTTTTCTTTCATGGTTTACTCCAGCTTATACCGACCAACGTTAATTCCCAAGGCAATGGGGCAGTGGTTGGTAGGCACCAAGGCATGTCCACATGCCAGTGGGCCTCTGTGCCATACCTCTTGGGCCCACTGCTGCTCTGAGATCCCCTGCTGGTCTAGCCTGGGGCTACGAGACACCCAGTTACCGTGTTGTCACAAGGAGGCACAGCAGGACTCTAGGTGGTGAGGGACTTGTATATTGGCAGGGAAAGACTTATGCAAGGCTGCTTCCCTAGCAGTGGTAGCTAAAAGGAAACTAGTAGTGCCTACATCTTAGCAATAACATAATGCTGCCACTCTAGATGAATTACACCACCCTCTACAAGACGCATGTGCACGCGCACACACACACACACACACATATCCAGATGTACCTCATCACTGTCTCATCATTTAACAAACAAAAACTATAGTTTAAAGATGAGTATAAGTATATGAGAGCAAGAGACAGTTTACCTTGTAACCCTGTTTATCTGACAATCCTGGAGGTAAACATAACGAGGGGAATTCTTCAAGACCATTGAAGTCTCGACATATACCTCCTGCATTACTGGCACTGTCATCTGCTGTCAAGTCATCACCTGGTGTACCACCATGTCCTGTAGCACAACCTATAAAAACAAGAAAGAAAGGAATGACTTATGCAAAGCAAATATCTTATCTAACTTCCGACCAGGTTAAGTTCCTGGACCCTGTTCATAATTCGATCTGTTCTTTACTCAGAACAGTGTTAATTCTATAATATTCCATACATAACAAGTAATGTAAATACCATTAACCTTCACTATACGAATGGGTTAGGTTCCTGAATAACCATTTGTTAGGTGATTTTTCATATAGCGATTAAAATAACATACCTCACTTGCTAGTCAACCAGCTTTAGTATTAGTCCGCCAATACATTAATCGGTTCTAGGCTTAAATTTCTTTACTATTTTAGTAAATACTCTGTATCAAGAAGTTTATACTATTCAATAATTTTAAAAGTTTAATATTAAATTTGTTAGTCATTTTTAACAATTATTGAACATAATTAATTGCAAAGTGACTGGTTTTATGAGCGCCATCCAGCCTCTTAACATTAAAAGCGTGCTGTTGCTAGTCTCTCTCTGTTTTCAGTGGAGGTAACATCTGTTTGAGACTCTTCAACTAAATGCTTTTTTCCAAGAAAAATTATTGGTCATTTTGAAATTTATTTTACATATTGACAATATATAGCTTAGTGCAGTGTTATTTTAAAAGAAAATATTCTTTATTTACAGCTAGTTTAACTTTAAAAACATGTGTTGACATTGTCGGAATCTAGCATGGGGCCTAAGAGATCAAGAAAGCTTTATTTAACCAAACCAAGCAGGAAATTATAAACATGAAGAAGGTATTAGAACAAATTGCGCCACCGTGATATCACGGCCTATAAGACGAAATTTGAACATTAAAAAAATCTGCCCAGTTAGGGGTCGCCTAAACCACCAAGTTTAAAAATTCTTACCTCTTAAATATTGTGGTTTAGTGTGTCAAGAGTGGTGATGAAAAACATCGTAGTTTCACTCCAAGGTCTTACCACTAATTATTTTATACTGAAACTTACGCTTTGGCAAGCTGATTCAAATTAAGATTACCGTATATTAAAAATAATAAAAATGTATTATAAACCTGTCTAATACCGTAAAAAGAGATTTATACCTTAATAAACACAGCTATCATCACACACCTCCCCACGCCCCCCCATTTGCCAGTGAGGAGCCGTGAGGTGGTCAGTAATGCATACCGCATCGGATATTTACTCCATAATATTTATCTCCTATAAATAATTGATTTAAATTTTATTTTTCCAAAGAATATTCAGTAAATGAGTGCATTAATTCTGAAACTATCGACGTTAATTACAGACGCTCAAGTGACGCTACTAGTGTTTACACTACACCAGCTGGTAATATTTGATGCCATTACTTGAAGTGAATTCAACTTATTTTAAGTAACTAACTATAAATAAATACAAAAAATTAAAAAAAGATCAAAACTGAGAAATAATATACTGCTGTATGTTGTGTTGTCAAAGTAAGAGGAACAAATTGTGTAAGTACGCATATATTTTTTCACTCAAATCCTAATGAAACACTACTGGAGAACATTCCTTTGTCGCAAAACAGTTTATAAATTAAAGAAAATAATTACAGTGTGTTTAATATATTACAGTATATTATAAATAAATAAATAAAACAAATAATTCGTAAATCTATTTAAAGTAAATGGAAAAATAAGCAAACATGTTATTTACCAAGACCCTTCCGTCTGGCTCAAAGGGTGAGATGTAGGGGAGATAAAAGAAGGCTATTTATAGCCCATCAGAAGTGACCAGTAATTCTAATGCACTACAACACAATTATTGAACATTCATTTTTGTACATAGTATATTCAGTATATATATATATATATATATATATATATATATATATATATATATATATATATATATATATATATATATATATATATATATATATATATATATATATATATATATATATATATATATATATATATATATATATATATATATATATATATATATATATATATATATATATAAAATATATATATATATATATATATATATATATATATATATATATATATATATATATATATATATATATATATATATATATATATATATATATATATTTGTGTAATAAATGTATGTAGTAAGTACATACTGGTAACTCACTCAAATCCCTAATGAAAACACCACAATTAGAATACTGTGGTTGCTTGATGAACCACATGTTGTATAAATAGTCACACCACTGAGACGGCGAACACTCCCACCACGCTTCAGTGACGTCACTAGTGTTTACACTCACACCAGCGGGTATAATTTGATGACATTACTTGAAGTGAATTGGCCTTATTTTAAAAAAAATCAAGGATGGTTGGTAAAGGACTACTGAGCAGTGGGTAAGTGTCACATTTGGGGTACTGGTCTTATACAGCAAATAGAGCTCAAAAGCTACTTTTAAATGGAAATTTGGGGGGCGCCTATGCAACCCTTATAAGGTCGCGGATATACGGTATGCAAAGAATATGGCACGCCGACATCAACTGTGTCGACAATTTTGCACAGAAAGACAAATTTAAAGAAGTGAAAGTGAGAGACACCAAGAGTGTTTAAAAGTAGATCCCTAATTGCAGAAACTGAGGTTACTTCTCATCTGGATTAGGGAGAAACAGATGAAAGGTGATTCAGTTTCTAATGAATTTATTTGTGAAAGAGCCAGGGAGATTTATGAACACTTAAAGACAGATCAACTGGTTCTTCAGGCACAGAATTTGAAGATTTTCGGGCCAGCAAAGGCTGATTCAAAAAATTTAAGAAAAGAAGTGACATTTTCAGTGTTGTTAGGCATGGTGAAGCTGCTAGTGCTGATAAGGAAGGGGCAGCAAAGTTTTTAGTTGAATTTAAAGAACTGATGGAAGAAGAAAATTATCTTCCACAGCAAGTGTTCAATGTGGACGAAACTGGGCTGTTCTGGAAAAAGATGCCCAAAAGAACATTCATCACCAGAGATGAAGCTTCTTTACCTGGGCATAAACCCATGAAAGACCGTCTCACTCTATTGCTTGGTGCCAATGCTTCAGGGGATTTCCGACTGAAGCCTATGCTTGTCTACCACTCTGAAAACCCCAGGGTGTTCAAGCAACAGAAAGTGGTAAGAACAAAGCTTGGAGTTTATTGGAAGTCCAACCGTAAGGCATGGGTGACAAGACAGCTCTTTAATGAATGGGTTGTTGATGTGTTTTGCCCTTCTGTCAAGAGCTACCTAACCACCAATAAACTCCCTTTAAAGGTTCTTCTCCTCATGGATAATGCTCCTGGTCATGACCCTGACCTTGCCAGCAATTTGGAGTATCAATTTGACTTTGTGAAAGTGTTGTTTTTGCCTCCAAACACTACATCAATCATACAGCCAATGGACCAGAATGTGATCAGCAACTTCAAGAAGTTGTACATGAAGAAAATGTTTAGGAGGTGTCATCAGGCAACTTCCAATGATCCTGAACTAACACTGAAACAGTTCTGGAAGACACAATTCAACATCCTGGAGGCTGTAAAATTGATTGTGTCATCATGGCAAGAAGTCTCCACTAGATCCCTCAATTCTTCATGGAAAGCACTGTGGCCATCAGTAGTCCATGATTTTGAGGGATTTGAGGAAGAAACAAAGTTGGACCAGGAGATTGTGTCCATTAGTCAGTCATTGGGCCTTGAAGTGGAGGAGGAGGATGTGGAAGAGCTTGTGATGTCTCATGAGGAGGAACTTACTCCTAATGACTTGAAGCAACTGGATGAGATGTTACAGGTAGAGGCTGACAGTGGTGAGGAGGAAATTGAAAGTGATGACCATATGTCAGCTAAACAGTTGAAAGATGTGATTTACCACTGGGAGAAGTTCAGGGAACTGGCTTCAAAGCACCCAGATGTGGAAAAAACTGATTTAACTTTGTGTCATGTTGAGGACTCAGTGGTCTCCTTCTTTAAACAAAAGTTAATGGTGAGGAGGAGAGATGCCCCACAGACCACAATTGACACTTTCTTCAGTAAAAGGCAGAGGGAACAAGATGCTATCCCTCAGCCTTCCACTTCAAGAAGGAGAGAGGATGTTCATGGTGGAGAATCTGTCAGTCCAGATGTTCCTGACATTTTCATGGAAAGTGACTCACCTTCCAAGAAGCAGTAAAATGCTTCTCCTCCACCTCCACTTCCTTCTCTTCTCCCTTCTCCTCCTCCACCTCCCACTTCAAATTCACATCATCATCATCATCCAGGAGCCTTCTACATACACACCTCAAAGTAAGTGCATTTTTCTACCTTTTTTGTTGAATTTAGGCAATTTTCGGTGAGCTGGAACCAATTACCCAAAAATCCATTGAAACAATGGTTTCGGTTAACGAGATTTTCGGTTAAAGAGCAACCTGCTGGAACGGATTGTGCTCGTTAACCGAGGGACCACTGTGAAGGAAAAATTGGGTACGGTTCCCCAATGACAAGAAAACTCCAATGTTGCATCATATACGAAAAAATTAAACCTGTTAATGAACAACAAAAAACTTACATAACTAATGATCAAAACAGGCAACTCCCAGGGTTATGGAATGATTCCGTTCCTGAAAATCTTTCTTTATCGCTAAACTATTTTTCCCACTGACTCCCATTATATACGTTGAAATACGTTCCTATGGAAATTTTCTGCAGCTAAAAAACCTAACACAAGGACACTTGTGAATGAAAATAGACACATACCTGTACAATGATTCATTCATGATCTAACATGACAATAAATGCACACACTTAAATTTAATTCACGAGAGTTACTGGATACCTCTTAAACATAATGTTTATAATCCAAAGTAATTCCTTTATTGAATCTTATATCACCACTGCTTTAACTTGAACTTGATAGTCTTTTTCACTCGTCTTGAATAAGGGTACACAGTAACATCGATGCACAACTGAACACAAACTGGTGAAAGAATTCAAACTGAGCAGGGCCATTGTTGTGGTGGCTGCTGGGGAGGTGAACGGCCTTCAACCATCTTTTAGCTAACAACAAGAATCCACACAAAAAAATTAGAATATCAGTGATTTTTTTTTTATAAATCGTAATTTTTTTTTTTTTTTATTTACCATAATTCCATCAGGGCAAGTGTTTTGACCACAATTTTTTGGCTCATAATTTTGAAATTCCGTAAAGGCAAATTTCTGTAACCCGGAATTCTGTATCATGGTGTTGCCTGTAGTACACAACTACAGGATTTATTAGTGGTATGGGTGAGAGACCTGTGGTAGAAAGTTAAAAATGGCCATCTTCTGTCTGTAAAAGAGATTTTGGCAGCAACTCAGTCACATGCAACAAATGTGTAAGGTGGGTACATAAGAGGTGCAGTGGAGTAGATGGCAGACCGCAGGATGTTGTTGATTTTTAAGTGTTCTGTATGAATCGGTAACTATGAGCCCACAGAAAGAGTGGAGGAACTTAACATTGGGGATATATCCCTGGACTGTGCCAATGAGATCTGTTACCTGGATGACATGATCAGTGCTGGTGGGGGTATTGAAGGCTGCTCAGTTGCAAGAGTCAGAAGTGCCTGGAGAAAGTTAAGGGAACTGCTGCCTTTATTAACAATAAGAGGACCTTCCTTCTGCATGAAAGGAAGAATGTATGCAGCTGGAGTGAGAAGTGTGATGCTGTATGGCAGTGAAACGGGCAGTTAAAGAGGGTGACATAAGTAGACTTGAGTGAGCTGAAATGAGAATGGTGTGGTGGATGTTTAATATGACACTGAAAATCTGGAGACCCTGCTCAGAGCTAAGAGGATGGCTGGGTATTGAGAGTACAGTCGACCCTCGTTAAAACGGACTAATAGGGGGAGGAAGGGTGTCCGTTTTAGCCGATTGTCCGAATTAACCGATTTAGGGGTTAATATTGCATAGGCCTACGTATATGGTATTGGAAATACAGTACCGTATATACACTGTATGCTGAACATGATAAACAGTAACAAAAATACATTATATTTCAAAGAAAATGCAGTGAGTTTGTCCTTAGCCTTGCGTATGTCCGAAACTGTTTGCTTTTTAACACCATACTCGTCACAAACTCTAGCCACCGAAGCACCAGCCTCTAACTTCCTTATAAGTTCCAGTTTCTGTTTCATAGAAAGGATCACATACTTCCTCTTTGGCATATTACTCCCTCTTGAAGACATGATGTAAAATACAAGGCTGAAAGATGCCTAATCACTGAAATATCAACGAAAATTGCAGGGCAACACAACACTGATACTCGAATATGGCACTAAAAGTCAACAATGACTGGCGGTCTGGCGCACGCGAACCATCTATCGGACAATCCCAGAACCAGAAATTTGACACGGACAGTCCCTCGCTTAATTCAGATTTCGTCCGATTTATCCGATATCCAGATTAAAGGGGTCCGTTTTAACGAGGGTCGACTGGTACTGGCAAAGTTCTGTGAAGAGGCAAGATGAGATGGTTTGAGCATGTGGAGAGAATGGATGAAACCAATTGGATCAAGAAGTGCATGAGCCTAAATGTGGAGGGGAGGAGAACCAGGGGTAGGCCAAAAATAACAAACAGAGAGGTTGTAAGAAATTACATTAGATTTTAAAACCTGACAAGAGAGACTGCAAGACATTGTGAAGCATGGAAAGCTGTCATCAGGTAATCACAGCTAGCCCACACAAGCATGGAAAATGGCAGTAAAACTTTAAAGATGATGATGATGATGTACCATACGTTGCAGCCTATAAGTCAAATTTTAAAGCTCCAATTTTTCTGTTCAAAATTAGGGGTCGCCTTATACAAAACGTATAAAATGTCAACCTTTAAGTATGCTCCCCCACTAGCATCAGATTTTCATTTTACCTTACTGGTAGGCCTCAGTCATTTAATTTCCAGCACTAACAAACACGTTTTACCAAACTGTAGCATTTTTCCATATGGGTAACTGTTACTGAACTCGGCCAATGGTCGGCATTTACACTAGTCATACCAACACTTCAAAACATCAAAATATCTTTCAGTGTTAACTACAGTTTCTTACAAACAAACGTTACTAGGGCAGTTACTAGTAATATTGCTGTTAAATTGGTTAAAAATGCAGTTACGGTAGATTCAGGTACAGTGGTCCCTCGGTTAACGAGTGCCTCGGTTAACGAGATTTCGGTTAACGATTTGCCTTCCATAAGATTCTTAACTTCGGTTAACGAGTAATCCCTCGATTAACGAGCCGACTTCAACATGTTTTCGCTTGCATTTGGCGGTCCACCAGCTGTAGTATTAGTTCGCCAATACAGTAATCGGTTTTAGGGCTTAAATTCCTTACTATTTTAGTAAATATCAAGAAGTTTATACCATTCAATAATTTTAAAAGTTTAATATTAACTTTTTTAGTCATTTTAACAATTATTGAACATAATTGAAGGTAAAGAAACTAGTTTCTGGCGTGCCCTACAGCCTGTTAACACACCACTGTTTTCAGTGGAGGTAACATCTTGCTTGAGACTCTCTTCAACTAAATGCTTTTTTCTGTGTTTCCAAGCAAATTATTGGTCATTTTGAAACATATTTTACATATTGACAAAGTATGATATGGACACGAAGTAGTACCTTCAGCTGTGTACCCTTATATTATTGTATTAATTATGTATAGTAAAGTATTGCAGAACATGTATTAATTCTATGTAATATCTCCATTTATTGTGCACCATGTTATGAATATAAATTATCATATTTATACTTTATGTATTCAGCTTGTGAATGCTGGCATCTGTACATGCCAGCGCGCAGCAATACATAGAGAGAGAGTGAAGACAGTCAGTCCTTGTGGTGTGGAAGTGAGCTTCTTGGTCCCCTTGTATATATATCTCCCGTAAGAGAATAGAACCTACTTTTAAGATAACAAGTGTTTATATATACCTTCAGTAGCATAGAACATTTTGGAGGTATCAAGACGAACACAGACAATATATAATGCAGTGCAGTGTTGATTTAAAGAAAATAATCTTGAATTACACCAAGAGAACTAAAATTTTATGGGTGAAATGGCACCATGGGGTGACTTCTCTTCCACCCCAATGCCTTCTCTTCTCCTCCACCCCCATTCTAATTCCCATCATCATCATCATCATCATCATCATCCAGGAGCCTTCTACATACACACCTCAAAGTAAGTGTACTTTTCTGCCCTTTTTGTTGAATTTAGGCAATTTTCGGTGAGCTGGAACAACCGAGGGACCACTGTACATGTAGTTCTGTAGCTAGTGAAAAATAAGTGATAACCAAAAATAACTCTGTAAGCCATATAACATGTTAATTCATGAGAACAAGGAAAGCACACCATGAATATATCCATGGTATCTGCAAAATCCCCTTAGATATTTTCCTCATCAGTCTCCTCTATATCTACTGGTGATGCATTGGTACAGTCCAGTCCCATACAGTGCTTGCACATGGGAGAACAAGAAAGCTGTGTTTGCCGGCATGTGCATCGTCGATTGCAGCCTTTCTTGCAGTTGCAACTCATCATCTTCAGGAGCTTCTCTGGTGCAGGTGGTAGCTCAGTTGGCACAAGAGCTAAAGAGCCGTGGGTCAATCTTACCCACATTCTGTGGATTGAAGTTCATTTCCCAACTACTGCTGTACCTGCGTAGGTCCGGTAAGAATGCTGCTCTGCTGCACTACTTGTAGGTGGAAATGTAGCTAGATCAAATGAAGAACCAACTCCTTTGCTACAGATGGCATTATTATAAGCATAATACCTATACTCGTCCAGACTTGAGAATCGATCACCACCATATAGGGCAAGGAGAAACTTCTCTCCTGCACAACATACATCAGCTTTGGTGGCATTTACATTTGTGAATACTGCTGTGGTTGAGGCTAAATTTGCATCTGATATCAAACATTTGTATGCTGCTTTCTTCCCTTTTTCAAATGGTGCAGAGATTGTACCACACTCTGTGACTGCATGCATGAACTTTTGACTGTTCTTTCCTTCTCCAAAAGTCTGCTGGACTGCTTGAATATTAAACACTTTGTCCTGCCTACTACCTGTACCTGGTTGGACCATGAATACAGGTGTATCTGAATCTGCCCGTGCCACCAACATCACAAGAATGCCTGTGTCATTGTCGACCAAAACGACTGTCCGTCCACCATTTGCTTTTTCTAGATCAGTAGATACAATGAGTGTGTCAGCATCAGCGATGGCTTGTTTAACATTCACTCCAGCATTGTCGAGGTGTGGATAACATTTCAATAAGTCTGGACTTATTCCACTGAATATACAGAATTTGTGACTTTCTTCTCCACCAACTTTTGAGTAGTGTTATTATACATTAAAAGGGTGGTCCCTTACTTAGTTATAATATGTAGCAATGTAATCATAAAATGTAAAAATACGTGATAAATTGGCTAGGCATGAGATGGAAAGAGAGATGTTAATATACAATTACACAAGTATGTACACCCACCTCTCATTTTACGCAGGGGTTACGTTCTTGAAAACCATCGCTTAATTAAAAAACGCAGAAATTAAACATAATTTTCCCATAAGAATACATGTAAATGGTACAGGTTAGGGGAACCATCATATACCACACAGGGTACGAACAGTGCTCTCACTTAAACCCTGCACGCAGCCAATCTCTGACACACGCTCTGGTACTCTCTGAAAGCGAGTGATCACATTTAATGTCACTATACAGCAACTTCATTCATTAAGTATATGACAAATCAAAATACCCCCTGTAATTACAAATAAAATTATTACATACTCTGAGGTTTCTTGCCTTTCCAGACAACAGTGGCAAACCAAGTGCAGTTGTAGTTGTCACTATTAGGTTCACACATCTCAGCATCAAACTGCAGTGGGTCACTTTCACTTAGGAACTCCTTCAGGCTGCGCTTGTTTGCCGGACGTTTTCCAAAGAGATAAAATTTGGACCGCAAAAAGAAAACTCTCTGTTCCTGTTGATTAAAAGATAACTGTAATGGAATAAGAATCAATAATAAATCAAACAAATGGGAGAATTAATCCTGAAATCACATTACAATCAAGCATAGACTAGGTGACTAATGGGCTGCATCAACAAGACTACAAGTTGGTATCATGTGGCTCCTAGGAGCCCTGGCTTATGTGACTGGAGCTACTGTATTTATAAATGAGAATATCATATGTGGATAACCTACAAACCTTCCAATTCACATTAAGACTGAGTTATATTAAGTTTCTGATCTAAATTATACATGAGTATTATATCTTCATAAAAGCCTGAGCCAAACACCTTTATTCTGGTTAAAATTACACTCGACCCCTCTAATTTGCCTTTCCCCTTTTCCAAATTTGTTGGCAACATTGAATTACTTAACAATTTTTAACACTGACACCCAAATGTCCAAATTACACCACAGCTGTCAGACAAATTAAAACTCATGATCCCACACAACAAAAAATTCTATTATCTCAAGCAGGAGTTCTTGAATAAATATTATGTCTCTAAACAATACTGTAGATGCCCTTCACTCAGCCAGGTGGTAAATTGGATCAAGATCATTTAGATAAATGAACACAACAAAACATCATAAAAACATTTGTTTACTTTCATATACAGTATGATGATCCTCTGTAAGTTATGTGATGTGGTCTAGATATACCTGTAGTGTAAATCTTTATTTTACAATATACAGTACAGTGGAGTCTCAAAAATGTGTGGGTCAGGTACAAGACGACAACATGAATTCTCAAACTTGGAATTATAGTTAATTCATTCAAATGGAAATAATTAGTTTAGTTCCAGAAGCCAAGAACTACTCATAAACTATTCCAAAACTGCTTTAATAAACATTAAACATCATATATATAATATGTAAAAAAAATACAGTAACAGATATTGTACAAAAAGTAGTTCTATACTGTATTACATAAACAGTTCCTTTCCCTCTAATAATTTTATGTGTTTGTTTTGCCAATACACCAACACTCACCATTACCACTAACAACCAACATTCATCATCAGCACCAACACTCACCACCACCATCAACTCACTACCAACACTCACCACCACCATCAACTCACTACCAACACTCACCACCACCATCAACTCACTACCAACACTCACCACCAACACTTACCACCGCCACTAACACTCACCACCGCCACTCACTACCACCAACAGTCATCATCACCACTAACATTCACCACCATCAACTGGTGTTTACAGGATGAAAATGCATTTAAATTGGAGCAACATAGTGGTGGCCTGCAGGTTAGCAGAATAAACAAAGTCACTCTTGTGGTGGGGGCATAGGGATGACTGTTGGCAGTGGTGAGTGTTGTTGGTGAGTGTTAATGGTGAGTGTTGGTGTTGGATAATATTGGTGGCAGTGGAAGGTGGTGGTGAGTATTGATGGTGGTGATGAGAGTTGGTGGAGGTGGTGGTGGTGAATATTGGTGCTGACGTTGAGTGATGGTGATGATGGTGAGTGTTGGTGATGATGGCGAGTGTTAAAGGTGGTTAAAAGAAGTTTAGGAGGCTGTTGCCTTTACTAAGAGCAAGAGGACCTTTTCTTTAAATGAAAAGAAGCTGTGGGCATGAGAAATGCAAAGTTGTACAGCAGTGAAACATGGACATTTAGCCCTTTGCAGACATATCCTGCAACAGCTGTGAGATGGAGGGTAGCATCAAACCAGACATAACCCACAACTACAGGTATTGTGATATATTTCTCACAGGCCCAATTTAAATTTTACATGCTTTGCGTATGCTGTAGGTCTCTTGCCCATTAGTAGCGGCTGGACCATGGCAGAGACAAGATTCACTGCATCCAGTTTTGGACATCAGGAAATTGACACTATTTATATTTGATTCTGGAGAAAAGGATGACCCTCCCATGCATAATGAAGGTGCTATAAGTGAAGATGGTGACTTTCCTCAAGATCTGACTGGCAATTCTAGTGAATCTTAGGGGAATTTGAGTGATGAGGATGAAGATTCTGCTGGTGTTGGTGGAGTAGTTTCCACAAGCCCCATGTCCACCCATGGGATTGGAGTGATTCTTTGTTTATTAATCCCCCCCCCCCCGCCCCCAACAACCTCTGGACCATGCTGTAAATCAGAAGTTTGTGATAAGATTATACTTTATATTTTTTTTCTATATTCCCCATAACTTGCCATCACTGTCCTCAAAGGATTGAAGAGGATGTGACATATAAAGATTGAAAACCCTATTCAGAGCTACAAGGGTGGTTGAGTATTGAGACCATCAACAAAGTCTTTTTTACATTGAAGTGGGATGATATGGTTGAAGCATGTGGAGAGAATGGAGGAGACCAACTGTGTCAAGAGATACACAAATCTGAATATGGAGGGGAGGAGAGTTAGGAGTAAGCCAAGAGTAACACGGGGAGTTTGTTAGAAATTACCCCAAAGATAAGAACTTGATGAGAGAAGCTGTAAGAGAACAAGCAACACGGAGAGCTGTTACCGGGTAATCACGGATAATCCAGAGTGTGGAAAATGGCTGTAAAATGGTAATGATGAAATATACATATACAGAACATATACTATACCTATTACTCAACAAATAAAAAAAAATTCATGAAACAAACCTCGTCAAAAAACTCAAAGAGAATTACTCCTTTTCCAGGATCCAATTCTGATATGTGGCCATTCTGGTTACTGACCCGTGGGACGAGTGGTTTCAACTGTTGATCATCAGGCGGTTCTATAGAGGCAGAAGCTGCATACCACTGGCAGTTATCACTTGATTCCTTGTAGTTTTGAAATACATAAAAATACATAAAATATATATTCTGTTATTAAAAATTGGAATTGTAAAGTAAACAATGGAGTTTGTATTTTGTGAGGTCTGAAGTTAATATCTCTTTCTATAAAACTATTAAATAATATTTAGATACATTTTTAATCTTATGTATAGTCTCATTGTTTATAGTTAGGTAATACATACATACAGTGATCCCTCGGTTAACGAACGCCTCGGTTAATGAAATTTCGGTTAACGAATTACCTTCCATAAGATTCTTCACTTCGGTTAACGAAAAAATTTCGGTTAACGAATTCCTTACGAATGTTTCCCACATGTTTTCGCCTGCTTTTGCCTGCTCACCAGCTGTAGTATTAGTCCGCCAATACAGTAATCGGTTTTAGGGCTTAAATTCGTTACCATTTGAGTAAATATCAAGAAGGTTGTACTATTAAATAATTTTCCAAGTCGTATATTAAAGTTTTTAGTCATTTTAACAATTATTTAACATAATTGAAGTACAGGGAACTAGTTTTTAGCACGCCAAACAGCCACTTGACTCACCCAAAATGGCGTCAGTGTGTCTCCTTGCTCAGTGGAGGAAGCTTCTTGCTTGAGACTCTCTTGAACATAAACTATTTTTACGTTTTTACAGTACAATTATTGGTCATTCTGAAGTTTATTTTACATATTGACAATATATAATGCAGTGCAGTGTTGATTTAAAGAAAATAATCTTGAATTACACCAAGTGAACTAAAATTTTATGGATGAAATGGTGCCATGGGGTGACTTCTCTTCCACCCCAATGCCTTCTCTTCTCCCTTCTCCTCCACCCCCATTCTAATTCCCATCATCATCATCATCAACCAGGATGCCTTCTACATGCACACCTCAAAGTAAGTGTACTTTACTGCTTTTATTTTTAGTTTGTATGTAATTTTTGGTGAGCTGGAACCAATTATCCAAAATCCCATTGAAACAATGGTTTCGGTTAACGAAATTTTCGGTTAACGAACGACCTTCTGGAACGAATTGTGTTCATTAACCGAAGGACCGCTGTACTATACTTAGTGCATTTTTCCAACTCAGGTTCTCAACTGGCTCAGCCATATTAATAATGTTTTTATTATTCACTCTGTATCTGTGTTTTTTCTGGCTAAATTAATCCCATATGTTCTGTTATTTCGTTTACGCGTTTCTCATTTTACGCGGACCTCCACGGGTTCAATTGACCGTGTAAATGAAGATTATACTGTACTGTATTACTTAGGAAAAAATTGCAAAATGGCCCCCAAAAATTTACTTTGTATTTTTTCATTAGTAGTTTGAATCATGGGACAGCAAAATTTATTATATGTAACTATAAAATTTATTAATCAGGGATCTACAGGCCTGTAGGACACAATCTATATATAAATGTGGCACTTGATGGGTAATTCTTCTGGCTTATCACGACCTTTATAGTGAACCACTCTAATAAGTTTTCAAAGTTCAAAAGAGTTAAAATGATACAGTATGTAGAAAAAATATTTATGCAAATTTTCAGCCCTCCAAGATAAGCTTTGTAAAGAACATCCATTGAGGAATCGATGGCAGAGAATCTTACAATGTGACAACTGTAAGAATCACCTGTTTAAATAGTAAAAAAAAAACTAAAACTAATTCAGTATTAAAGTCACTTACCTTATCATAAATGTGGCAGTCAAAATATAAGATATCCCCAATTTGGAGTTTTCCAATTAATGAATCTGCCTTGTCCAGCAGCTTACCCTGGAAAAATTAAATTAAATACATTGAAGCAATTTCAGGCATAAAGGCAACATTCAAGCTAAGACAAAAGTTTTACTTCACAAATTATGCACCTTAATTTTTTTTTACATCATAGAGCGGAATAAATTTTTGTTCTGTACACGAACATCAAGGTAATGTGTGAATGTGTGCCACCAATGGAAACTAAAGCTATGTACAGTATTGTATAATAAATTAATTTTAATGTTACCACATACCGTACGGGTATATGCAAAAAGTAGAGCAATTTAAAAACACGGCAAAATAACAAAGTGCACTGCTTAAGATGATATGCACAGCTGGAACTTTGCAGTAAGTGTATGGCACTTGACTTGACTGCTTTGACACATTTTAGAGGCAACATTAGTGACAATGTGGTACAACTGTCAGAAAGCTTGTGATTGTAGAGATTGTAAATACATTTATGGGGTCAGTACTGCATCACTGATTTGTACAGTACAGTAGGGTCGGGACATATTGCGAGATAGGGTCCAACGATGTTCATTATATACTAAATCACGATACATAATTACATGTAATCAATGGGGAAAATAGGGTTAGGTTCTGGATGCCAAAAAAAAGTGACTAAACTTGACTTAACGAGCTCATTTTCTTACTAACTAAAGCACCAATGAACACTAGACTCATGAACAACAGGCTATATCAAGGAACACCAGACTCAGGAACACTAGACTCATGAACAACAGGCTATATCAAGGAACACCAGACTCAGGAACACTAGACTCATGAACAACAGGTTATATCAAGGAACACCAGACTCAGGAACACTAGACTCGGCAGCTCATCTTATCTGTCCTTTTTCTACACCTAGAGTGATACTCTCAGATAACGAGGCAGAATTTAATAATCAACTCTTAACTGCAATATGTCAACAATATGACATTACACAAACCTTCACAATCGCCTACCATCCATCTTCAAATGGGTTGGTCGAGCATACAAATTGAAAAATTCTTGCCATTCTTCAACATGTGGTGAATCCAATGCACAGTTCGTGGGAGAATTGGCTTCCACAAAGTGCAGCGTCCATCAATGATCTATAAATAGCTTTACAGGCAAATCGCCATACTACATAATTTACGGTACCGATAAACGCTTGCCATATGATCAACTAGCAGGAACCCCACAACCCGTGAACAACATGGATGACTATGCCAAAAAGCAATTCAATGTTTTCACAAGCAACCATGGAAAGGTATGAAAACATTTAGCAGCCTCATGTGCTGAAATGATCTGCAAGCAACATAAGAAAGCTAGAAATAGGACACAGTAATGATAAAAGTGCCAAAACGCACATCAAAACTCTCGCCTAAATTCACAGGTCCGTACGTGATTAGAGCTAAAGAACATGGAAACAAATTCCAAGTAGTTCTACCAATGACAAATGTCACAGCTATAGTGCATGTAGATAGAATGAAAAAGTCAGCAGAGACTTAGTAGGGACTCCTAATGTAAATCAAATACATCCTACTTCTACTACAACAAATGCTCAACAAAATATAACGATAGACAATACACATCATCAAAAACTACGATCAGTGAACAAAACTCGTTAATTATCCTCACCTCTTTCAGACATGACTTGGATATCACTACTCCTGTTGGTCTGGAGCGCGGTGACAACAGCCGCATCCCGAGCAGACATCATCAAACCCGGAACTTTAGTTGCCCCACAAAGCAAAGTACTTGTAGTACAAAACGTTGTAGTTGTCAAGTACAGACTCCACGATCTAATGCGCATGCCAGTGCACCTGAGGTCAATAGCTGTCCACATTGAAACAGCTATGCAAACCCTGCAAGATCTTTACCCTGTTTGGTATGGCAACCGCCGAAGATAGAGCTAAATTAGGGAACAGAATGAATGCAGTTTCAGAAGTGGTTAAGAAACAAAATAGGGCCATTGAACAGTCCTACAAGGCAGTACAAACTCTGATCTCTCACATGAATGCTAATGTTGACAAAACTAATCAACTAACACAAGCTGTCCATGGATTCACACGGTCAGAATCTATCACTGGAATGGCTACTCTGCTTTACAGAATACTGTATATGCATGCAGCTGAAACCCCTGTACAAGCTTTCATAGACACTAACAGGCTCATAGCTGATCTAGTGAATGCAGCGTTAGGTTGTGTTGATGCACAGTTGTTGCCAGTTGGTCAACTTATTGCCGCTTTACATACAGCTAAAACTAAATATCATCTAACTCCTATCTTTCAGGAGCAAGAAGTGGAATATTATTACCCCTTATCAGTGGCAACCTTAACACATAAAGAAATACTAATACACATTCCACTAAAATCACCAAAAAAAATTTGATGCCTGACACTTGGAACCATTTCCATTGAAAGCAAATGACGATCTTTTAATCCTGAACAAACAAACTCAACTAATAGTAGTATCAGAAGATTTTTCATTAGTTGCTGTGACTAAGCATGAAGTCCTAAGTCAATAAGTCATTGTAAGTTAACATACTTACACTTGCAGAAGCTACATGTGAATTAGTTATAGTACAAACTAATGCCTCTACAGCTCTACAACAATGTGAATACACTCCAATACCACATAGGTTAGTGTTTCACACACATGTCAATAATGTGCAATATTTTTATTTCCTAAATCAAACCAGTGTGATACTTATATGCCAGGATGTAGGTAAATATTTAGTAGTGGAAGGTTATCATATAGCACCAGACTATTGTGAAATTAGCAGTAATGCAATCACAACCTTGCCTACTCGCCATCATCTTGCAATCCTACCTGGTTTCATTATATTGTACCTACCATCATACTTATCAGTTCCTTGATTGTTATGATAATTTGTTACAGAAAGATTTCTTCTCGGTACACAATAATTTCTAAGAGGACTTTTTGGAAGGAACTGCAAAACCATGTGCAAGAAGAAAAAGTTCAGCTAAAGGACACTTTATTGTAACAAGGTTAGGTACACCTAGGATTTAAACAGTGAGGACTCGGTTGGAGGAGGCCAAGTGGTGTAGCAGCACCATTTACATTATATAAATATTCACCCAAATGTATAATACCATTCACGGATTTGCGATTCACGGTAAGCAGATGGTTTCTACTACTTTACCAGCTTATTGGTATTCCTTAATTTCTAACACCTGATGGAGTATTTACCCACCATTGGCAAAGGAAACCTACCTGATAATTAAAGCACTTGACCCAGAGTAGCACACGTTGGGCTTGTCCATGCAGGAGAAATGTGAGGATCGCTTTACCCGGTAAGAAAAGCTCTTCCACTCGCCCCCTCTGGTTGAAGAGGTATTTATCTGTCATTTTCTTGAGCACCTGATGGAAGGCTGGGAGAAATAAGGGATCACCTGAAGATTAGCCACCCCAGTTTATTTCACCTAATGATTAAACATCATGACATAACATATAATACTCTCTACTAATTTACACACTATGCTGGTTCAATATAATACTGTATTTGTAAAAAAAATCATTAATATTATTGCAAGTTTGACATGTTCTCTATTATTGTTAATGCATTTACCTGCCTGAGTGTTCCAGTCAATGTGTCCTGTTCCCCTAGTTGTTGTGTCCGTCCGCATTCCCGAGTGTCTTGGTCAATGTGTTCCATTTCCCAAATCAGTGTGTCCCCCTGCCTAGTAAAATTCGTCTCCTCCCTTCTTAACATGTCCACCTGTTTAGTTGATGTGTCCCCCTGCCCAGTTGATGTTTCCCCTGCCTAGTCAGAGTGATTATTTCATTTATTTCTTTTCTTTTTCTAAGAGATATCAAACAAGAAGAAATATTGGCATACAGTAATCCCTCAATAACTAGGCATTTGATAAATCAGAATTTCATATAACTCAGCATGGATATGATCTCAGAAAGTACTGTATATAATAAATGGTTGAAAATAAAATAATAGTTTCACTTAATCACAGGGCGTTAATGTGTCACGAAAGGGAAAGGCAAGTTCAGCAGACATATCTGCCATGGTTTATTGTTATGGGTGAAAATAAGGTAATTGAGAAAAATGGTCTCACATCTCGGCGAATATTATGAAGTTGCAATATGGAGGAATTTTCAGTGGAACAGTATTAAAAATTTTGAAATGTGATGCACAAATATAACCAACAGCAAACAGAAGATACATTCCTATGTTACATTTGCACTTTTTTTTTCCAATTTATTCAGGTAAAAATGGTAAGAACATTAAGAAGTGAGCACAGGATACTTCGCTCACTCATGGACCTATTGACCTGGATGAAGATGAACCCCGTCCAGGCACGTCTTCTGGTATTATTGGCTCATCCGAGGACGTCGTCTCCCACGCTAACAGAGATGCTTGTGCAACAATAGTGGACACAGGTTAGCTCCCTAACCCCTCTGTTTTATTTTGGTCAATGCAAGACCATTTTATTCTTTTTAGAGAATCTTCGCACTCAGTTGCTTTAATTAAAACCAGTGTCGATTAACTCCCCAAGTGTACGCACGTACCGGTACTCACCTTAAGTATTTTACTCTGATACAAACTTTTGATGAAATACATTGATTAGTGTATGTGAGTGGTACATACTGTATTAGCGACCAGAACCTTAAATACTTCAGGGATACTGTATTACTCTTGTTTTAAGGAAATCATTTAATCATTACCCATATATACTATTTTTTATAATATTAACCCTTTCAGTGCTCTGTACTTCTTTACGGATTTTGCTGTATTGCTGCTAATACCAGACGATTATATTCATCTGAGGAAAACTTATATTGAACACTCTAAAGAGTTCAGTCATACTGCAACAAGAATGATATATCTATGTTTAGAACCTTGTGAATCGTTTTTTATTTTTAGGTCATAAAAATTGCAACAGGAAAGTCACAGAACAAAGCCCTGAAAAAACTGGTATGTCCGTATGTCCAAAGCTCATGTCCGAAACTATAAATTTGCCACAATCATTACCGTACAGTCCATACTGCCATTAGTGATCTAATAATTTCCGAGTGAAGTTAGGCTGTGTGTGTATTTAATAAATTAACCTTAACAGCCTACTTCATCATTCATTAGTCATGTTATTATTCCTCTTCCTTCTCCTTCTCCTATACTATTCTTACTTAACAGTTAACACTTTTTCACGCATGATTGTTTGGTGTTTAATAGCCTATTACAGGTATAACATTGCTTATGAAGCTTTTAAAGTTATATAATTGATGTAAAATGTCCATACATGACATGCGTCACTAGCTATCCTCATATTTTAATTGCAGAAAATGTTGAGCGAAAGGATGCTGGAAGCCCAAACTGCCAAAACACTACTCCACAGTTTGAAGAAATAACAAAAAATGAAGGTCAGTGCTCAACTTTGCAAACAAATCCAGAATGTATACAAAACCAGGATGCCCCTTCACAAACACATACTCATGTAGAAAGTCAAAAGAGTTAAGAGACTACATCTAATGCTTCACAAGCAGAAATCAAGGAACTCACACGTACTAATAAGGACCTGGACCAGCAAGATAATGTTAAACCAATGAGTGAGGATGGACTACAAGAAATTTGTCAGGCCTAAAATACAGCAATTCTTGTCAGCTGAAATGTGGTCATCATGGCAAAAGAAATGGCATTGGCTTTTCTCCAAAAATGGAAATGTAGAATGTACAGTATGCAGAGATGTGAGTAGACTGGTTGACAGAGGGAGGGGCATCAAAATTTCTTTGGAATGGAGTGAGGGCATTGTTGGAGTTACAGAAAACTCTAAATGTCGAGTGAAGAAGCTTAGGGACAAAATATACCAACACTGTAACAGCACAGCCCACACAGCAGCCAAGTCCATTTGGGGAGAACAGAAAGACAACGAGCTGCCAGCACTGCTTGCCGAAAGTTGTCTACAGACAAGAAAACTATGGCCAACTTCCGAACTGCATATACTTTGGCAAAAGAGCGTTTGCTGTTTAAGAAGATTCAGGCACTTGTAAACCTGCAACAGCGGAATGGAGTAAACTTAGGGGCAGTCCACCATACAAGACCATGCTTATGCCAATATTATTGACCACATAGCAACTCAGATGAGAACTTATCACCCACATTAAGGAAAGGCATACCTACATTAGTTTGGCTCCAGATGAAACAACAATTTACAAAAAAAGTTACATGATAATTTACTTGCGAGCAGATGTTGGAGATGAACATGTAGAAAATATCTTCTTAGATATCATCGAATGTAGTGAAGGTACAACGGCAGACAGTTTCTATAAGAATTTATTAGAGACACTGAAGACACATAAGATAGACAAGGAGTACTTATCTGATCATTTTATTAGTCCATACACTGTGTTGTACACAAGCTGGAATTAGCTGTCAAAGATACTATGAAGGCAATAACAGTTACAAACCACTTTGAAATATTTCCTACCAAGCTACACACTTTGTACCACCAGTCACACAAAAATCAGCGTGAACTAGAATCTTCAGCTGCAAGTGTTGAAGAAACTTTGTTAAAAATTACTCCTATCTTTACCATCAGATGGGTTGCCAGCAGTTTCAGAGTTGTTAAGGCAGTATGGCAGAATTTCTCCTCTTTAAGTAACTATCTTCATGCAGCCTCAGGTGATACTTCACAAAGTGAAGAAGAAAGATCAAAGTATCTAGGGCAAGCAAAACACTTAAGAGACTACAGGATTTGTTACTGATCTGGCAAACATGAAAGACGTGTTAAGAGAACTAGCAGATCTATCACTTGATATGCAAAGACGAGATATGACTGTCCCAGAAGCTCAAACATTATTGCAACTGTACCAGAAATAAAAAAAAGTGCTTTCTGTTTAATATGGTGGGGAGTCCGAGGGGCTTTAGGAAGTTAGGTAAGGTTCGGTCAGATTCTATTAGGTTAGTAAATGTCACCCCTTTTAAAATGCTGATTAATAGTGATGAGATACCCACCACTGCATTAGTTGTTTTTAATTTTTCTTTTCTTACTATATTTTCATCGACGAGCTCTGACATGATATTCATTTCTTGGGCAAATGCTTCATTTGGTAGATATTTAGGCCCTGATGCTTGCATTAGCAGCACTACTTCGTCTTGCAGGTAAAATTTTAGCTTCCGTCATCCCTGTATTATGAAATCCAAACACTTACTATAAGGATAAGAAAATCTGTGGAAAAAATTAACAAAACCAAACAACAAAATCACACATATCCTTCTGCTGCTAATGTAGTGCTGTTCTCAGACATTACTGGAAATTTATTCTGGAAAAACAAAGATGTGCTTCAACTCAGTGAAGATTTTCCCATAGACGAAAACCAAAGTTTACCATGGTGTTTAGGTTTTTCAATATGCTGCCACTCTTAGCTACAGGGTGGAGGGAGTTTCTACCTGTACAAACACACACGCAGACACACAGCTGAGATTTGTCAGCAGTGCTTATACAGTACCTGAACAGTAGTACCCCGATTTACGCAGTCAATTGAACCCACAGGGTACAGCGGAAAGTGAAAACCGCGTAAAGTGAACAACAGAATATATGGGATTAATTCCAATTGAGAATGGCCCGACCCCCAAACTCCACTTTTTCTGACACAATACCTGTTGTAGTAAAAATAACATCTAAATTTTATAATGGTATGCTCACACAATTAATATTTAAGAGAAATACAGTCGCCAGGTTAATGTCCATTCAAATAATGGACTCAACCCCCTCCCCGCTCTTCCCAGCTCACTTAGCCCTACCCTGAGAAATGTTGGGTGAAAACACTAGATTTTAACGTTTAGTAATAAATAATACCTCAGACTAAAGATAGGATAATATAATTGACATTTCTGGATTCCTTGCAGGTCAGGGAATATTTTGAATGTAAACTTCATATATTTTGCACAAAAGATAAAATATTTGTTTTGTGTAAACCAAATTATTACATTAGATCTAAAATTTGTATGTCTAATGCAAAATCCATGATGTTTTTATATTCAAAATGATCATCATATTGTAAGAATTCCAGCAATGTAAATTATATTCTGGCCGGGTAATTTGTATGAATTTTATGAGCTAAATAAAAAAAAAAAAATTATACTTCACGCGTATATGAGTAGATGCACCCCGGAAAGTGAAAGTCCGGTTCTGGCAAGGTACCGCGTAAATGGTAAATGAGAAAATCGCAGAAAGTGAAACGTGTAAAGCGGGGAAATACTGTATACATCTGACTACTGTACTGTATAGCTATTTGTCGGAAGTAATCATGCACACAAATTTTATGTTAAAAATATCCTATTCATGTGTATATTTGTATGTGTATGCATGTACGTATGGCCATTAGGTAATTAAAGGGTAAATTTTCACTTGTTGCCACTAAA